TTACCATTGCAGAGGCCATTTCGGAGCAGCTCCTTGTGATCGAAAGAAGACGTGGAACAGAAAAGCGCGCCTTGCAAGACTTTAGTGAACGCGTGGGATTGTGGGGTGCTCCGAAGGGGCTTGGAAAGACTGTATGCGTCACACAACGCGCGTGACAACACATATGGAGGCTCGCGCGCGCGCGTATCGTCAGTAAACCGTTTATAACCGTCACAGTGATAACGAAAAACGTCAAAACTGATCTGCAAAGATGCCAAATTTTTAGTTACATAAAAAACTTTGATAAGCGGATGGATTTGCGCCAAATATCAGAGCCAGTATACAAATCTCCGAGTGGAAAATTTAACGAAATGTCACTCATGGAATAAGGTCCAATACTTTAAGGCAAAAACAAGGTAAGGCGTAGAATTTTAAAACTAGTTAAACATTATTTTTAACAAAAATATTGAAGCTGGACAAGATTAAGCTACATATAACTACGAGAATCAGCTGGAATTCAATTTGGAAACAAATTGGCAAAGAATTCCTGGCAGCGTCGTGCTTCTCTGAAGTGAAACAGGGGAAGTATTGCAATCTTGTCACTCTTTGGCAGGTTGAGAGACTGAGCCACTGACATCGTATCTTCGACAAAACAACAGCCCGTTTCTGCGTGGCTTGATTCCTCCGTTTTCTCGTGCCGATCCTCTTCGTGCTTTCGGAGATTTGAGACCATTTGAAGGCGTGCTCATTATAATTCCTCCAATAGAGATAGCCTGCGAGCAGCGTTACCTATCTCGCCGAAAGCAACACCGGATCTGTCGCTACATAACGTGTCCGAAGTAATCGCGAAATTGCTTTGGTTTTGCTTTACTACGCTGTGTGATTGGATGAAAAATCTCGCGCCACCTTCTTCTCAACCAATCACTGATGAAAAACCAAAACCAATCGCAACTTGGACAATGGTCACACGCGTTTTCCCGCGCTTGGCGCCGGTTACGTGTATTTGCTTTGAGTTCTGGCTCATTGTGTTGTTTACGTGTGTTGTGATTGGCAGTCATAATTGCTTTAGATTTGGTTTTACGACACTCAATCGAAACCGCTGAAAACAAAACTAAAAACAGAGCGACCATCAGACGCAAAAACGTATTCGATAGACACTTTGCTTGAAATCATTAGAGCGGTTTTCAGTGGCCATAACTCGGCTAAAGTTCAATTTCACAATGCACGTGCGTCAACGTATGACATCACAATAATCCTGTAACGATTGTAACGTCACAGTGTGTCTTAACGATTTTTTGTTTGCCGAGTCTTGTTTGTTTGTTTGGCAGGAAATTACATGAGAGGGTCTGGAACAGAAAGCTATGGAAGAAATTTGTTGTTTGAGTGAAAGCAGTGAAGACACTGGGACGCTGGCTAACAAAACTGACGAGTCAAGTACAGAAATATCTGATAATAATTCTAAAAGCAACAGTGAACATGATTTTAAATCTTTAAGGACTAAGTTGTATCTGTTGGAACATTCCCTCGAAGAACAACGAGTCACTTGTAATTACCTAAGGGAGGAGAGGGACGAGGCCGTCACTCGCAATAGGTTATTGAAGCGTGAGGTCGAGGAACTGCACAGGGAGGTATACACGGGAAAAACACGGTCCTCTCCTGAACTGCAACAACATGAAAGGAGTGGAAACTATGACACAGGTATGATGACACATAGCCTGTTCCAGGCGTTCGTTTCCAATCCCCACGCCTATTATTCACTCGCCACTCTTCGCGCTTCGCGCGTCTTTTCGCGTCGCTCCTCCACTATCCGAACGCCTGGAACAGGCTAGATGACACATGGTGCTGATACTGAATGCGTTCGTTCCACATATATAGTTATGTCATCACTGGTTTTAGGAATATGTATACTCGTATGCATGACAAGATTGATCATCTTCTCTTGCCAGCAAAATATAGAAAATATAGAAAATATACAAAATATTGGTCTTTAAATTAAGACATCATTAGTAAACCGGTTACGCCAAAAATATTCCATACCAAGTCCAGATCTAGGGACAGTTCTTATTTAGCTTTGGCTACATCGTATATGTACGCGTACGGTACATTAACTTGATACCGATCCGAAAATTAATTGTAAGACTTTATGTTTATATTACAGGTCCTCTAGAGGAAGACGAGTCTGTAGTGAGCTGTATACTCGCGTTACCCTGGATAATGGTGCGTGGCCTGGTCAATAGAGTGGCTTTGTTTGTATGGTGGACAGGAGCTTGGGCAAACGAAGGTGATCACTTTGGGGCTGAATGGGTCTATTTCGATTATGTCTAGACTAGATTGCGCTTTTTTTTAGTCTCAGTGGGCAATTACTTCATACCCGTATGGATAGTCAAGCGCGAGGCGAAGAACTCGAGCGGAACAAATAGCCGCGAAAAAACTGGGGCGTGGCGGGAACGAAAAGGAAAAACCAACCTCGTCCCCAGAGTCTTCTCCGCTTTCAAGATGGCGGATGGGCGCGAAGAAGACCCTGGCGAAGAGCAGGTCACGTGACCACAAAATTAGCCAATCGCGAGCCCGCCGCCATTTTGAAACAATCAAAATCTCCAATATTTTTGGAGACACGTGACCTGCTCTTCGCCAGGGTCTTCTTCGCGCCCACCCACCATCTTGAAAGCGGAGATGGCCCTGGGGACGAGGTTGAAGAAAAACAGCGCTTTCTCTCCAGCGTCGTCCAAGTTTTCGCGCCATTTTCCCTTTCGCTGTTTTCGCTTCGCTCGACAGTCTATGAGGATAAGTAGGGTGTCGTGGTAGTCTATTTGAATCTTGAAATTGTTTTTTTTTACAGGACTGGGTTTTCTACGCATTGAAAATAAATGGGTGGAGCTACAGCGTCTAAAATACGAGCTAGAAGAAGATAATTCGAGATTGGGGAATCAAGTTTATGCGCTACAAGAGCTGTTAACAGAAAAAGAAGTCGAAATTGTCAGACAGATTGAGCGAAACAAAGATTTGACAAACAGATTGGACACGAAATGCGGGATCTTTGCGGATAAGAAAAACCCAGTCGACAAAATGTCCAAACATATTCACGCCATCGCAACATTTACCGATAGTTTGAGTGAGGAAATTGAAAGAATAAAAACGACAATGGATCGCAGGCTCGTCCAGTTCGAAAGAGTTCATCGCGATATTGGTCGTTTGACTGAAGGTCAGCGGCTACTTGAAGTCGCTGAAAAAGACCTCGAGAAAAAAGTCGAGAACTTAGCAGACGCTACTACGCATGACTGTCGTTGCTACAATGCTGAATCCTTGCATAAAATTACCGGAGATACAAAATCTGATACAGAGAAAGAGGTTTTGGCGATCAATGTGGCAAGTCAAACACCCTCAGTTCCTCGCGAAGAGGATAAGTCGAAAGTGAAAGCGTCTAGACGTAAGCGATCTCGCTTTTGTGGAATATGGTGTAGTTTTCGCGCCGTTATCGTATTTTTGTTCACGTTTCTAGTTACTGGAGTTGTATTTCATTTTATTTTAGTTTCTAGTAGTTTAAGGTTGCCATCTGTTCCTGTAGAGGAGTTCTATGGCGTTGATTTGTTTGCCTTGTGGAGTTATTTTATTAATTGGTTATTTTGTCTTTTGGTGACCGGGTTTTAAAGTATACTCCGGCGGTTAGCGGTAGTTTTCAATCCGGGTTCCATCACTTGACAAATAATGATCTGATTAGAGATAGTTATTATCCAATATATTGTTTTTCCCTTTCGTAATAAATAAAACTGAATTTGAAATATAACATCACGGATGGCGCCGTTCGTAAACCATCCTTGTTTTTATTTGGTGTATTCTTCCCTCTGTGGTGCTCTTCTACGACAGTAAACTTATTTAGTAGTTTGACGTCACGCTTCTTTGAATCAATTTGAAAGTAATTCATCATCATCATCATCATCGTCATCGTCATCATTTCTCTTCACATAAGGCCGCAACATTCTGCTTCCATGCCACCCTGTCCCTGGCCTGTGCTCTCGCACTGCTCCAGTAGTTTCATCCTGCCTGCCGTCTCTCTAATGATTTACTGTGCTCGTCGTAACCTTTCCAGTTTCCTGTCCGTCCATCGTCACTTCCACGCCATCATTATTTGGATTTTAATTCACAATGTTTTCTGTTTCTAGGAGTAGGTTATTAGCCCTCAGCCTAATTAATTCCAAACCTGGAGGACCGGTTGGTTTTTCTTCCCTTAGATGGTTGCCTTCCAGGGCTAACGAGTGTCCATCTACCCGGGTTTGGAATCACAGTTTTCCTAATTCCCTGAATTAGTATAAACAAGCTGCCTTCCCATGGCTGCAAGCTCCATCTGCCCTTAACAAGCTGATTTTAGGGCGTCAGGAACCCTGACACGGTATAACTGTTCTTAATTAAAAAAAAAGATCTTGATAACGTTCATATTTTAGGAAAAGATGATAAAAGACTGCAGATCCATGATAAAAATTCACTAATTTATTAAAGTCACCTAAGTTAAAACACCACCAATAATTTCGTCCTTCGCATATCGTTTTTAAAAATAATCATTTTCTTAAATTTTGTATAGAAATTAGTAATTTAAAATACAAGGTTAATTTCCCCAATATGAATTAAATGTACGGTATTACAGTAAAATCAATACATTGCACTATTGAAACGAAACGCCTTCTCAATTAAATAATATTAACTGAGGATTATTAAAGCGTTTAAATAAATCCATACCCGGTGACATTTACACATTTCTTTTTTTGTTTATACCGACAACAGTAAAGGTAAGGTAAAGCCGTTCAGGGCCAAACTGGCCCACACTGCCAGAGCTTATCCCAGTTTCTGTAGCATGAAGCCGACTAGGAGTATTGCTAATCTCCCCTGGGTGGGATGCTAGTCCAACGCCAGGTTATCCCCCAGCATTTTGTCAGGTTGCCCTAACACTTCGCTGGTACCAATTTATACTCCTGGGTGGAGAGAGGCACTGTGAGAGTTACGTGTCTTGCCCAAGAACACAACAAAAATGACCCAGGCCAGGGCTCGAACCCAGACCGCTCGGTCTGGAGTCCAGCACGCCAATCATTAGGCCACTGCGTCTCCCACACTTACAACAGTATGATGTTATTATTGTGTAGCTAAAAATAAAATTAACCCCCGTGATGCAATAGTAAACATCAGAGTACAGGAGTTTACATAAAGACAGGCTGTTTAGCTTGGAAGCAGTGAGTCTGATAGAAGTGTGGTCCTCGACTGAGTTAATTTAAATTTGATTCTTATCAGCCATGTTCGATAGCTTGGCAGTCACTGACTCGTCCCCAGTCCCCAGTCGTCTCTATTGTAAGACGCGTGCTCCTTCCCATCATCCCCCGCGTCTAACAATTTTCCTGATAAGTGTCGACTTGGGACGAATCAGTCACAGTCAGGTTAAACTTGTATGATTCTAGATTTGATCTCCAATTTGCAACTTTTTCGAGAAATCCTCGGAGCCAGGCTAGACTGAATATTGATATATTATTATGTGTGATGAAACTCTAGTACATGCCATATTAAGCAGTACTTTCATTAGTCCATATTAGATTGTTCAGAGTCTCTACAGGGTCAACATTCAAATGAAAGCTGTTAAGGGTATTAAGCGACTCTCTCGTCTCCAAGACGCTTCGTATCAAGACACATTGAGAACAGTACTTTCACTGAGATGCTGTTCAAGTTATTATGCTGTACAAGGTGGCTCTAACTTTTTAAATCTGTGGATGAAACTCTAACATGTGGTTATTCAAATGAAAGCTACAGAGTAATACGTCCATGTGATACAGCTAGCCCAGCATGACCAGTCTCAAAATTAATATTTTGTTTTGTCGATTTGTGCTTTTATAAGTAGGTATTTTCTTTAACTGAGCTCAGTTAAAACTGGTGTTCCTTCATTACAAAGACGAATACGGCAATTATCGTTAAAGCAATCAATACAATGAAAGTTGCTGCTGTGAAATTATTGCATGGGAACACATAGGAGCGATGATGTCGACTATGGATCCCTAATAAATCAACCAATAGTTGCTTCAAGCGTTCTGTGTCTTGTTCGAGTTTACTGCACTTTTCTGTCTCGTGTTGAAACCTGTTTTCAAAGATTCTATACTGTTGTCGTTGCTGCAGCACCTCGTTGCTTCGCTTGTCGAGCAATTTTCTCAAGTCTCTGCAGTTGTCTAGTTGGGAACCCCTTCGTCCTGACTGTCCCCACAGTGAAGTCACCGGGAGGCTGCCTCGCCGTCTTTGGCTGGTCATGAGGTGGTCACAATTGATGTTATCTGGTTTGGCTTAAAAGAAAATAATATCCTTAGGTTCACCAATCACGTTACATTTGCTATGATTAGCAGTTATTTTCTAGTTGTATAAGCCTTTGTAGCACTGAGTAGGCCTTTGTCCCATCATCAAATAATTGTGTGAAATCTCTATATATTTTGGGGGGAATTTTCTGGAGATAACCTGATGTCTCCAGCATCATCTCAGGTCTTCCGGTTTTTGTTGTAATATTAAGCATATTAAGCGACCAACCCCGATTAAGCGGCCAGCTATCAAAGTCCCAATATCAGTATAATACTGTAAATAAAACCCCTATTAAGCGGCCAACCCCCTTTAAGCAGCCACTTGCCATTTCCCGAGAGTGGCCGCTTAATCGGGGTTCGACTGTATTGCTATTTTCTCCTCCCGGCATTTAGTTAGGTTCCCCAACAATTTACCAGTATTCCTGTGTGAAGCTTAGAACAACACGAGGAAAAGGGTTGTAGATTCATTAGACTACCCCTGTTCCTTTACGCGACTTAGTTCCACTGCTTTGGAGTTTCTCTACTTTAATACAAGCATGGTCGAAAGTCTTTACGAGTGTCAGAGTGGCCCACAACTGCCCAGGAGCGTATCCCGGTTTCAGTCGGTACATGAAGCGATAGGACACAACACCGTGACAACTAGCCAGGCGAGGCCGCTCGATCCCGCAGAGTTTAGGACGCTAATCAGCTCTAATCGTTATAGGCTACCACGCTTTACACCCCACACAAGCATCTGACTCGTCCCCAGTCGTCTCCTTATGAGAAACTTGTAAGACTTCCCAGCATCCCCTGCGTCTTGCGACTCCCAACAAAGGAGACAAGAGAGACGACTGGGGACGAGTCAGCACAAGCATTGTTTTAAAATTTGGATCAATGTGTGTCCAAATTTAAACGGCTCCAGGTCTGACGTATATCAAACAGGACTGCCGATGCTTGTCCACTGAATTTGGAGATAATTGAATTTAAAAAATTCCTCGCGTACTAAGTTTATATCAGTTATTACTAACATGTATTCCTATTAGTATATGTAATAGGACAAAATGCTGTCCAAATTGGAAATAATGGGATGAAAGAAATTCCGAAAAAAAAAAATTGGCAGTCCGAGGAATTTTTTGGATTCAATATTTTAAAATTGGACAAGCATGTAGTGCTATTTAACAATTATCCACCGAAGTGTAGATAAATATCCACCACACCACCAATAATTGTTTTAGTATATACCATAAGTGAATAGCCAGCACCAAACAGTTTTTATTTTATTTTGTGACAAATTGGGCAGCCACTCGTGGGAAGCCATTTTGTTTTTGCTCGGAGGTGAATAGCAAAGGATATCTGAAGTTTGAGTAGCCAATCAGAACGCGCGAATAGCACTATTCACTTGTGTGGTATATGCTAATAGGTTTTTAATTATATCGCGGGTGAAAGTGTCCAAATTAATCGTTAATTTGGACACGAATCCAAATTAAAGATGAATTTGGACAGTTTGAAAAATTAACAAATAATCGTGCGCACGTTAGTATAGGTTTTTGGGGGGCTGGCGATATAACTACATATACTAATCATTCCCAGTATTGTATTTTACACGGTAAAACTGGCCTCAAATGGAGGTTTAATATGGTCGTTACCTGCTCCATTCGTTCCTTCTGTTTCATCTTCTTCTTGTAAAATTTCACTTTCCCTGCGAGCAAAGTTCATCCGTTCCCTCAAACGCTCAGTATTCAATTTAGTTATTTCTTTTTGTAGCCTCTCGTTCGCCGCTCGCTCGGCATCTCGCTCTTTCCGCATCTGGTTTACTTTTCCTTCGTTGGTCGCCATTACAATTTCCACTTCAGACAGTTTACTCGTAAGGCGTTCAATGCAAAGCTCTGCGGTGTCGCCCTCAGTTGTATCTATTGTCTGCATAGTGGGCATATTATCAACACCCTTGCCTGATAACAAAAAAAAAAGCTGTGATTAATAAATCGATGTTATTGAACTAGCTTGTTCGGCCTTCGGCTCGGTTGGACTCGGTCCATAAACTTGCAAAAAAAGAACTCGACCAATATTCCCCCAATACAGACCAAACAAGCCAGTTCAATAAAGATTTTATTATAATGGCTTTTTCGAAACCAATGCAACCATTCTTGGCTTACGCGCGCGCCAACGTTAAGCATAAATTAGGCTTGTTATATTCAACGAAACGAAACGAAATGAAACGAAATGAATATGTTTGGTGGTTATATTTGATTTTAGGATTTCAGACTGGTCATGTTCGTTTCGTTGTTTATCACTTTTCATTTCGTCGAATATCACTTTTGGTTTTAAAATGTTTTAAGTGATAATCAACGAAACTTGTGTAACTCGTAAACACGGTGGGAAGTCGAAAGCACACAATTCAACCGGCTTGTTGATTGCTAAACACTTGAAAACAAAAAGTGATATTCGACGAAATGAAAAGTGATAATCAACAAAACAAACATGCTGTAGCTTACGTACATGGACTTGGACTGGGCCAGACAAAGGGCCAGACGGTATTGTGAAACTCGTAAACACGGCGGGAAGTCAAAACACACAATTCAACCCTGCGTAGCTAAACACCTGAAAACAAAAAGTGATATTCGACGAAATGAAAAGTGATAATCAACGAAACGAACATGACCAGTCTGAATATATTCCTAAACTCAAATATAACCACCAAACATATTCATTTCGTTTCGTTTCGTTTCGTTTCGTTTCGTTTCGTTTCGTTTCGTTTCGTTTCGTTTCGTTTCGTTGAATATAACAAGCCCATAAATTATACTTACATTTTTCAGGCCATGTTTAACCAGTCCGGCACAGTTATCAGTTTTGATAACCTCATGACGTCACAACATGGCGCCAGTTCGGAACTCGGTGAGTTTTCGGAGAGACTCCACTTTGTTCGTTTATTTTTCGGTTGTGTTCGGGTTACCTACCCAGAATTCTAGGCGTTAACCTCGAGAGAGCAATGATCTTCTAGTGTGCATACAGCTGTTTCGAGAAAGGTTGTCGGAAAAAAGCGCACGCGACAATCCCGAAAGGTATTGTGGGTAGTTTTAAGTTCACGGTTCCTTGACTTCAGCATTTCAGGGAAATCTGGGAAAATGGCACGAGACGCCATGGACGTATGTTTGCGAGTGCTGAAAGAAAGCAACAAAAGTAGGTTCGACAGCTACAGTGTCAGGAACGCACCTTGCTGATCATATCCCAGATTACCTTTCGGGATTGTCGCGTGCGCTTTTTTCCGACAACGTTTCTCGAAACAGCTGTATAAAATGGTACCCAGGCGATCATCGGCAAACAATTATGCGAGATTTTCCTTCGCGATTTGAAGAGGTGGTTCAAAATGACAGTCAGTTTCAGGTATGTTTTTTCACTTTGCCGTCAATTTTCAATTAGTTCAGTGTAGATTTTTGTGGTACACGAAGAAAAAATGTATCTATTATCTTTCGATAAAACGCTTATTTAGTGGAGTGCACGAAGGATTGTAAGAGTGCACTATGGTATTTTGATTTGCCGGATTCCATCCGCCACTGACCGCCATGTTTAATTGCTTGTGCTTCTAGGTAATGAGTTGAGTTGAAGGGCAACATTATGGATTTCCACAGGGAAAAAATTGCCTCTTTGTGTCGATTTTGTGCGACTGGATATCGATGATTCGATGCGATGCAGTGATCAAGGTATGTTGAGGTATGCTCTCACAGTAGTAATACGATTTGCCCAATATGTAATTATCCATTACAAATATATGCTCAGTGTTTTAAGCCAGGTTTATGCCAG